AGTAACAGTTGTACTTGTTTCTGTAGTACTTGCAGTAACGGTTATACTTGTTTCTATAGCACTTGCAGTAACAGTTGTACTTGTTTCTGTAGTACTTGCAGTAACGGTTATACTTGTTTCTATAGCACTTGCAGTAACAGTTGTACTTGTTTCTGTAGTACTTGTAGTAACGGTTATACTTGCTTCTATAGCACTTGCAGTAACAGTTGTACTTGTTTCTGTAGTACTTGCAGTAACGGTTATACTTGTTTCTATAGCACTTGCAGTAACAGTTGTACTTGTTTCTGTAGTACTTGCAGTAACGGTTATACTTGTTTCTGTAGTACTTGCAGTAACAGTTGTACTTGTTTCTGTAGTATCTGAAGTAGCATCTGTACTTGTTGTTATTATTATTAAATTAATAGTATTTGTTGAGTCTGTAACAAATTCCTCTGTAGCTGCGCTACTGGCTGACCATTCGCCCAACATATTTGTTGTGTCGGTGTTTTCGTCCCCGCTGATAATGCTCAATAATACACAAGCGATAAAAAAAGCAACTATATTATAATGAATTCTTCGAACCACCATGCTGACTTTTTTGAATTGATTTTCAAGATGATCTTAAATAATTGGAATAGCAAAATTAATTTTCTTGGAACTATAATGACTGTGTGTAACTGATGAAAGACTAAATATTTATAACAATGTAAAAAATGATCGACCCAAGAAAGAAAATTTCATTCGTAAAAATGAATGTAAAAAGTAAGTAGCTTAAGTCAATATATATCCGTCTTTGTTTATCTTCTTCTATGTCTCTTCTCTATACTATAAAGAAAATCAGTTAACAAAGGCAAACTGTTGTCTAATCTTAAATTTTCACTTATTATTTAGCAGCACTTCCAGGATTTACGATCTATTTTTCTCTTATTTTCTCTTTCTTTATTTCTCATTCCCTGTTACGTAGTATTTACTTATTTTTTTCCGTATGTCCTGAATAGATTTTCAAAAACCAGTTTTTTTTTTTGAAGAAAACTTACAATTTAAAATTTTCTTTTATATAAAGAATTCTTCGTATATTTTTTGTTTTCTTCCATATAATAATCTTTTCTTGTATTTATATTCATCAATTTGTTCGTTATGAAATTATTTTTATATTCAAATTAATCTTTCTTTTTGATAAGATTTATAACCGAAGCACAATGAAAGCACGGCAAGAAAAACATTCCTAACAAAACAAAAATCTTTGTATAAACATCGATAAAATTCAAATACCTTTTCATTTTCTTTTGAAGAAATTTCCCAGTCAGAATAAGTAAATAAAATCACAAATTTATGCAATTAATATATTTTTTTGTTTTTCTAACAAACAATGATCATAATACAACATTGAGAGAAAAAAAACCTTTTTTTCTATCTTTTTTTTAGAACATTTACCGATCGCCTTCATCACAGAATAAACAAATAGAACTCGATGTTTGAAATAAAAAATAATACGATAACAAAACAGAAAAACTTATCGAGAATGCCTTAAAGACATAAAAAAGTAATTCACCTAAAATAATTTAATCTAAATCAAATACAATTATTTATTAATATATATGTATGTCAGCGATTGTGTACTAAAAGCATGCATAGAATTAAACAAATAAAAAATGTTGAAATATCGAACAATCATTTTACAAATATACAATGAAATAAATTTACAAAAATTTCTCGATTTCAAGTTTCTTTTATTAATCAAATGTCGATTTATATATTTGAAAAAATCTTGATCAGTAATATCAAATACTGAACATTGATGTTGTAAAGCAAAAGAAAAATTCAATTACATCGTTTTTATTAAACACAATGGGTGAGAATATTTCACAACTTTCAAAATGAGATCTTGTTAATATATTGTTTTATTTTTGTCATAGACGATTTCTAAGTACTCATTGATTTCTTGTTTTTTTTCTATTTAGAAAGTAATACCGGGTGTCGTAAAAATGTTGTGATATTTTTTGTTTTGCATGTAACTTTGTTCAGAAATATGATAAAATGTTGATCTTTCTTTCTTCAAAAGATTTCGCTGAATGTTCTATTCGGATGACAAGACCAAATCTTGATAGCTATTTTTGAAATTTAAATAGATTACTAACATTGAATAAGTGTATCATCATGTTATTTTCTTACAAGAGAAAACTGAAGATTGCTAAGTTTTGTTCGTTCATTTTGAATGTAATGTTTGTAATCAATGAGAGATTGAGTCTGGCTTTCAAAAACATGAGAATTATCACTCGTGCTCATTTTCAAATACAAGTGAAAAATAAAGTCTATGCCAGTTGATTTAAATGCTTTGTCCGCAAATAAAAGTTTTTTTTTGCTGTATTACTCTCATAGATATCGTCTAATAACAGTGATCTCAATGCATAAATCGCGAGTTGGAACTTCGTCGAGTGTTTAAAGAAAAAATAGTAAAAAAGAATTCAACTTAACAAAATAATACAATGAGAACTTGACTTGAAATGAAGATGATGAAAATACATTGAAAAGAAATAAGTACTAATCTCATTGAAAGTATTGGCGGAGTGATGAACGTTTTGGTTTTTTACAGTATCTGGTACAGTCCATTCTATCTAATATTGATTTGATTAATAATGACTTTAATTGTCAATTAAAAAGTTGACTTTTCCGATTTTGTTCTTGTGTGAAATAATACAATGAGACACGTATTCAGTGTTGATGGTGTACTAAAATTTCGAAAGTATCTATAAAGATTTGATCTTGTAATCTAGATAGAAAATTCAATGGAACATCTTTTGAAAACAACAATCAACTTTTTATTTTGTTTCTGAGCGGAGTTACATACAAAACAAAGAACTTCACAAAAATTTTTTCACACAATATATATTTTCTTCAACTTCAAGATTGTTGTTTATAGTGTTTTAAAAACTGTTTTTTTTTGCAATAAAACATTTATACAAAATATTTGTGTGTCATGATTATAATTTATTCTTCTTGAACTATGCTACAAATATTTGTACTTGGTTAATTATCGATCTCAAAAGTTTTGTTTAAACATGTTTACAATTACGGCAACAAATAATATTAATAATGTTGATCACTGACCTAGTTAACGATATGCGAACTGATATATTTTTTAAATATTGTTCCCTCTGTTGCATCTTTTCAGTTTCAACAAAAAAAAAAGAAAAAGAAAATTTTCTAAACAATCTCTTTTTTGTATTCCTGTAGATAATTCTATAGAACTACGTAATGCGAATAGATATCGTAATTGGTCTTAAATAGCTATAAATCTTTTTAAATGATTAATCTGATGTTCATAACTGCATTAAAAAAAATACTTGGTTCTGATATTTTGGACCTTTTCTCAAATGAAGAATGAATATATTGATGACTTGTACAAAAATCAGAATACTATAGAAAAAAACTTCATTTATAAAACTATATATCTATCAATGGTTTGTATTTATTTTTTGAGTTTTAAAATATATAAAACAAGTTGATACTAACTATGATGCAAATATTAAAAAAGCTGGGACGATGTAAGCATAAAAAAGAATATTATATTTATACGTGACTTAAAAAAGAAAATGTCTTTCCTTCAAAATCTAACATGTCAATTAGTGATTATTTTCAGATGAAGTTAATAGTACATAATAATATACAGGTGTTTGCAAAAAAAAAACTGGCACATCTTATTATAGGAATATTTCCTTACATATGTGCCCTTCTGAAATATTTCGCATAGAAATTGATGGCCTACAACGAGTACTATTGAACACCATTATTTAATATTTTATTCGTTCATCTTGAGAAGAAATAAGGGACAAACATCTGATTTTTATCAACATCCCACGATTTTTTACAACAGCAATATCAATATTTTTAAATTCTTCAGCTAAATGTTCAAGTTCATCAATAGTCAAAGGCTTTCTTTTTTCAACGTTGTGTTTTACTATCGACCATATATATTCTCCACCAGATTAACATCCGGGCTATTGGAGGGCCACTCCAATAACTGTGGTACATTTTTCTTAATAAATTATTTACAAATATTACTGATATGTTTGGGGTCGTTGTCCTGCTGTAGACGCCAATTTCGACGAAAGTGTTCTTAAAAAAGGAATAAACAGGAATGATACATTATTTTCTTTTACTACTTACATCTAACAGCAGGAAGAAGATAATTTTTAAGTATATTAACATAATATGGACCATCAAAATTTGCATCGAAATATATGGCAAGTCAATACACCTTTCATACTTATTGCACCCCAAACATAGACTTTTTGATACTTTTTAGATATACATTTTAGTTCATTATTAGAATCTTTTATTCAACGACGAATATTATTACGAAAAAGTTGAAATGAAGATTCATCTGTAAATATTGTATGTGTAAAATCATCTTCTCTATAATGTTTAGTCCACTGTATACATTGTTTCCTTTGATCAGCTGTTAACATATGATTAGTTTGTAGTACGTAAAACATTTCTATAATCGGATTCGTGTAGATGACGAATTATTGTTGATGTGGATGCTGATTTTTAGTACTTTTTTGATAATTTTTTTTAAAATTTCCTTACGGATTATTTCGAATATTACGTCGAATAACAATATCCACCTTGATGTTTGAGTGAATTTTTTTTTTGTTTCAATTTATTAATATTGTAATAAATAGTTCTCAAGGAGATATTTGTTTCACGATGAATAAAAGAAGCAGATCGTAT